CACCCCCACACACATTTCTACTCAAATGTCCAGATAACTGGTCAACCCAGCATCTCAGGGACAGAGACTAAGTTCCTGCATCTCAGAGTATCTGGTCAACCTGAGAGAAAGCTAAAGAGTGGGAATGAGAGAATCAAAACTCTCTGAAAGCATCCTGTTACTTCCCTCCACAGCACTTGTTAGAATGGGGTTGTCTAATATCTATCTCCTCCACTAGAGGACAGAACTATGTCCTATTCCCTGCTATATTCTAGAACTTAGCTCAGCGCCTGGTACGTAGTAAATCTTTATTGAATAAATGGATTTAAAGATGCATAGCTGCATTTGAACAGGTGGAGCAGATGGGTGTCAATAGATTGCCCTGGAAATCATAAAACCAGTGGAAAAATGAGAAAACAAGACAGAAAAGATGAAAACATTTTAATAGTTTATAACTCAGTGAGGAAATATGAGTGGTCCTATTTGAGCAAACAAGCTGTGCTATAATGATAGACTCTTATGACCATTCTATAGCAAAGGAGAGTGAACGGAGGTGAGCTCACTGTTTAGCAAGAGGTGGTCAGGTTAGCTACAACCAAGATGGTGAAGCAGCGATTTGGATTTCCAGGGGAGTTTTTGGGTCTCTTTCCTTGAGGATGGAGAGTGTTTCATTTCACTGATGTTCTTGATGTCCTATTAGGAGGTAGTAGAATGGATCTCTAGTTTTTTTCATTCCCCCAGGTTGATAGTAGTTAACTTTTCTTCTCCTTTTTTTTTTTTCGTAGCTTGCTTTGATTTAAGTGATTCTATCAGTTCATTTTAGCTTTGACAATTATCTCTTACGTGTTTCCCTGTGACGTGCTGAACAGCTCACTCTTTTTACTAGGTATCAGAGTAACACTGCTTCTGCTGTTCTTGAAACAATTACCAACATTCAACCCAAAGAGAGTGGAGGTGGTGTGGGAGAGACCCGGGAGGCCATTGTTTATAGATTATCTGAAGATATGCTGAGTAAACTCCCTCCTGATTACATTCCTCATGAGGTAAGCCTTGCTGCTTTCCTGCTGGCATACAGAGCTATTTGTATATTTAAACAGTAAGTCTGATTACCATGGAAAGCAAGAATCTACCTGTTGGTGACTATGTGGCAGATGACCTGCGTGATAAATTTTGACTATATTACTAAACTCTTCATCTCTTGTTGTTCACGTCATTCTCTCTTCAAAACTTAAAAATATCAGAAGAAAACATTTTCCATGTTGCATTCTTTTAAAAATTCCCTTACAAGTTAATTCCTCCTCAATCAAAGTTTCCACAGTGACCCATTTATATATCAGTTTCTATGATGCCTTAAGCTGTGGTTAAAAAAAAACTCAAAAATCTTTAAGGCCAAAAGGCAATGGTGTTGGTGATTTGGTATTCTTTAAGATGTTCCAAGTGTTTTAACTGTAGATAGATGACTCACCCGTCTACTCCATTGATTTTTAATCACGTCTGCAACTCATTGAATAGGGTAGAACAATTAATGGAGATATTATGATGAATATAAGCACCCCGTTACCAATCTGAAGTTTTCTAAGAACCACACTTATTCATTGATTAGAATGGCGTGGCATGGGACAGTAGCTGTGTTTTTGAGCACTCATTACAAGCCAGGCCCTGTCCTAAGTGCTTCATACACATTATGACACTCAGTGCTCAGGACAGCACCAGCAGAAACCAAGCTAAGTGGCAGAGCAAGAATTTGAACACAAAGTGATCTGACTCTAAAACCTGCAGTCTTAACTAGTTTTAGCATGCAATGAGTGTCCCAACAATGAAAAGTGTTTTATTGCCTCTCAAAATAATTATTGTTTCCATTGTGTAGATAGGTACCAAGACCTTTGGTTAAGATATTGAAATCAATAGCTTCATGTAGAGATAGTTATGGTAAGGGGAGAAAATATTTTTAAATGGATAAATATTGTAAGTATACACTTTCAATAGTTTTATTGGTGTGATCTTCAAAAAACAAGGCAGCGTACTTGCCTTCAAAGATTTTTGATACTGGCATGTGAAAGTGAGATAAAGCTTACTCTATATGACTGTACCACAGGGCTGCTATTGCCAGGGGAAAGGTTCAAGACCTTGTGATAATTCGAGCTGTCCAGTCTTGGTTGGAGCCACTTCACCAGCAACACCTCTGTTCTGGCGATTATTCCAGCAGCAACTGAGCATCAGGGGTGTAACTAAATGGATTTCTATATGGGAAAGAGTTTGTACTAAGAGGCATCTGAAACTTGTCCCTGTTCCAAGATCACTTACTTTTTAGCATCTTATTTTATAGACGAGATCTGTTCTTGAACATGTGGCTGTAAAGTGAATTTTGTAAATCAAAATGTAATTATACCATTGACTTCTGTAGTAAAAATGAAGCTACATTATTGTAGAAAAAAACTACCTGGTCCCAGAAACATAATGAAAATGCTATATAAGATTACAGCAAGTCTTAAATTTTACTAATAAAAGGACAATTTTAGGCTGGAACAATAATTATACTCAGAATCAGGATTAGAATTGCATTTTCTAGGGTTTAAGATTTTTCTAAGCATGTCTCTATCTCAAGTAAAGTTTCGCTTTTAAAACGCTAAGCAGGACAAGGCGATTTGTTTGAAACTGCTAATATACTAGAGATACCTGGGCTATTGATTTGAGACTGTGGTCAATTCCTGAGCTTTATTTTCCACTCATGAGGTTGCAAAAGTATTTCTATGATTTCCCTTTTTCCTAAGAGTGAATTTCCACTCTTGAGATGGATTGATTTAAAGGGAATTATATATAGATGTAATTACACACAAACACACACACACACACACACATCTGTATAGCATATATATATGCTATTCAGCCACTGGAGGTTGAAGTACTTGGGATGGAGATGAGAACGAGGCACTGGAGGCTGCAAAAATGTAGGCTCTAGAACCAAGAATTCTGGAGAGTAGCTGAAGGTTGCTACGTCGGGCTGGGCCAGGGACCTTCCCTGGCATGCTTGACTGATTTTAATATAGTTTGCCCCACCTGCATAGGTAGTCCTATTCAGCTGCCTGTTTTATATCTGTGCTCAGTGTTATATCTCCTTCCGTTTTTGTGCTTTCCGTCTTCCTCTCTCGCTCACTAGAAACAACCCAATTGCAGTAAACAGAGGTGTCCCTTGCTGAAAGGAAACTTCTGCGCCACACTAGAGGCCTGTCCTATAAAAGGAGGAGATGACTCTGAAGCCCACCCGTCTCTAACATTCCAAGCCTTCTGAGGGAGCAGTGGGCATCTCTGGCAGAAAGTCCTGCAGTTCCTGGCCTCCTGTGATCCTTCAGATTGACACCTCACTTTGAGTTCTCTCCCACTCCACGTGTCCCGTCCTTGTTCCTGCAATTCGGGCATCTCTTTGATTGTGGCCAGCAGAAAGTTCAAATCCCTTTATGAGCTCCTGCCAGTATTTGTAGTCAATCTTTTCTTGGGCATATGTCACCAAATTGAAATGTGTATATTGTATTGGCGTGTTTTCCAATAATCGTCATATTTTATTGTTCCCACAACCAGAGGCTTTTGTATTGATCTCTTCAAAATAGTCAATAAGTGATACATCAAAAGGAACACATGACAGATATTTAACTGCTCTCCCACAAAATCAAATATTTTCATTTATTAGGAAAGGCTCTCTTTAGCTGTCATAGCTAAGGCAACAATGGCTTTTGGAAACTATAGCTGATCATATTTGTTGGTAACTGCTCTGTAAAGATTTTTGCTGTATTAACTTTCTATGACATTTCTAATAACTCTGCAAACATAATGAAGGAAAAAATTCCACTGTATTCCTATGAAGGTTAGATTGCAAAAAGAATATCTAATTGACACCTAGTACTTAATCATGTGAAAGGAGAAAAAGGTACAATTTTATTTCAGTTCTTTAAAGTACATTTCCAATTATTAGCTAAGTACAATCAGTAAGAAATAAAAATCATTTTAGTTGAACGGTAGTTTTGGAAACCCAGGAAATGGAAATTTTAATGGCAAGTTTGGTTCTGCAAGAGATATTTTAGAGTTCATTCTGGCTGGTAGAGATATATCCAGAGGAAGAAAACGAATTGAGAAAGAAGAGGTCATTGGAAGAGAAATGACAGATGATAAAATCTTCTTTATTGCGTTGTTTACTTTGTTTTAGGTGAAATCTCGTTTGATAAAGATGGGCCATCTTAATTCAATGAATATATTTCTTAGACAAGAAATTGACAGAATGCAGAGAGTCATTTCAATACTCCGCAGTAGCCTGAGTGATCTAAAATTGGCCATTGAAGGAACAATCATTATGAGTGAGGTGAGCTGTTCTTACATCAGTAGGCATTTCCTTCTTTGTTGATGCTTCTTATTCATGTGTTTTAACTTTTTCTTCTCCAGAACCTGAGAGATGCTCTGGACAACATGTATGATGCTCGTATACCTCAGCTCTGGAAAAGAGTGTCTTGGGATTCGTCCACACTGGGCTTCTGGTTCACTGAACTTTTGGAAAGAAATGCTCAGTTTTCTACGTGGATATTTGAAGGGAGGCCTAATGTGTTTTGGATGACTGGTTTTTTTAATCCCCAAGGTATGTGCTCATAGGAATTTTGACAAACTTGGAATTTGTGTGTTGTTGGATAGTAGCATTGTGTGATAAGTGTATACCATATAAAACAATGTGGAGCCGTAGCTTGCTGGGTGCTGCACATAACCTTTCAAAGGCGAAAGGACACAAATAATTCTTCTGTATTTGTTTTACAAATCCGATCTGAAGCTCTTCCTATCAGTTTTTTACAATGTGGTGGCAAAACCCTTCCTTTTTCTTTTCACCAACTTCAGCAAACCATCAGTCTGGGGTTTGACACATGAAAGGATAGGACACATGAAAGAGTAAAAAGAAGTTTCTCTCTAACTTACAGTTTTTAAATGTTTGTGAAATGTCAAAAATGAAGCACCAAAAGATACAAAAATTGTTTCCAGGGATTAGAAAATTAGATTGATTTCAAAAATGACTGTGACAAAAGTATTCAGGGAACTTCCGGGGGGTCTTCCCCCCCTTAGTTCTCTAGTTTTCTTTTTCTTTTTCCCTGAAAGAGTGCTTTATAATTCTGCTTCATTTATTCCTTCCTTCTAGAAATGTTTACTGAGAAAGTTAATGGCTTGATGTCTTAGAGTCTGTAAGGTTCAGGAACATGACACCTTTTTGTCTTACTAAAATATGGATAGTTTTACTTCAAGTAATTCTTGGTGAAAATGAAGAAATGTTGAATTCCTTATGGTTCAGCAGCTTATGGCTCCATTTGTAATAAAATTTTAGAATCATTCACACTTACAGATTTAGGATGAATTATTGCTCCTTGTAGCAATATAGGTGCATCTCATAAAATAATGTTGAGTAAAGGAAACCAAACAGGAAACATTACATGCAGTGTGGTTCCATTTATACAAAGAATAAGAACAGGCACAATGGCTCTATAGTGTTCAAAGTCGAAATAATGACTGTAGAAGGAGGGCAGCGATTAGAAAAAGGGTCAAAGGGCCAGGCACGGTAGCTCACGCCTGTAATCCCAGCACTTTGGGAGGCCAACATGGGCAAATTGCTAGAGCCCAAGAGTTTAAGACCAGTGGCGCGACATGGTAAAACCCTGTCTCTACAAAAAATATAAAAATTAGCTGGGTGTAGTGGCATGTGCCTGTAGTGCCAGCTACTTGGGAGGCTGAGGTGGGAGGATCACCTGAGCCTGGGAGATCAAGGTTGCAGTGAGCCGTGATTGCACCACTGCACTCCAGCCTGGGCAACAGAGTGAGATCCTGTCTAAAGAGAGAGGGAGAGAGAGAGAGAGAGAGCGAGCGAGAGCAAGGGCACAAGGGACTTCTGGGGCCCAGGAATGTTTTGTTTCTAGATCTGGATACTGGTTATGTGGCTGCATTCTCTTGGTGAAAATTCCTTGATATTGCTGTATACTGATGATTTGTTCAGGGTTTTTTTGCATAAAGCGTACTTTGATCAATATTGTACATGAAAAAATATGCATTTAATTGTCCTCTGTATACGTACATTCATTCACTGTATGCATTTTCCAATACCTTAAAAATGTTTAAATTTGAAACACTAACCATGGTGATTTCTATGAACATATCAAATTATACATAGTGTTTGATAAAGTCCGTAGCCTTTAGATTTGTAAAGGGCAGCCCCCAGATTTCACTTATCTATTTTTCTCCCAGAATTTCCGTTGAATTAGGAGAGGAACATTTTTTATTATGGGTCTCAGATTTTGTGTGTCTACTTATGAGTCTCTTTCCTCTGTATGAGCCTCAATTTGAGTAAGTCGTCACCAGGTAATTCCTGGCTGGGGAGCCTGAAGTAATAGCATTTAGCTTAATAAGGATTGTTTGACCACCTCCCATTTGCCAGCGCCTCTGCTAGGTACTTTCAATGAAGAGAGATTTGAGACCTGGTTCCTGCCCTAAAGGAGCCTATAATCTGGTTGGTAAGACAGACACATCAGCAACTTTAATGTAATGTGATAAGTGCCCCACTGTGTGAGAACTAAGTGCCATGGTAGCCCAGAGGACAGAGAGATTAATTCTGCCAAGAACTTCACACAGGAAGCAGTGAGTAGGGTTTGCAGAAGCAGGGATGCCAAAAAATAAATAAATAAATAAATAAAGAGTGAGGGCTTTCCAGGCAGAGGCCTGAGTAAAAACAAGGCTTGTTCAGGGGAACAGGGAGACCAGGGCTCAGGAGCAAGGCTGCGGGTAGCGGGGAATGAGGCTGGAGTATGAAAAGTCTTCCGGGGCTTCAGGGGTTGGGGCTGTGTATCAGAAGGTTATCCCAAGAGAAGGCAAGTGATGGACTGGAATATGGAGGCCCAGTGCAATGAGACTCTTGCCAGGTCCTAGGAAGAGGGCCTGGGACTTAACCAGGTGCTGAGGAGGGAACAGATTTGATGGAGTGATTAAATGTGGGTCTCTGAGAGAGCAAAGAGGGATAATGTAGGCTGGAGGCAAGGTACAAGACAGGGAGCACTGGGAGAGAGACAGGTAGGGCAGAGAGGCAGGGAGCACTGGAGAGGTGTGTTGACAGACTTGGAGTTGGGAGAGGTGTAAGGACCAATGATTTTCAAAAGTGTGAGGTTATTGAGTGTATCTTTGATATTTAGAAACCAAGAGAGTGGAGTGGGTTCATCCCTGGCTTTCCATAGACATGAATGCACATAAGTTTTTCAGCGATTTTTTTCCATTCAAAATATAACTTAAAAAAACAAAGTTAACACTTATGAACTAATCTTTAGTTGTTAATATTTGTTAAGAAATGTTACAAATCAGAACAATAATTAAATAAATACAAATGTAGATTCACATGATATGGTTTGGCTCTGTGTCCCCACCCAAAACTCATCTCAAATTGTAATCCCAGTGATTGGATCATGGAGGTGGTTTTCCCCATGCTGCTTTTGTCATAGTGAGTGAGTTCTCATGAGATCTGATGGTTTAATAAGTGTTTGGCAGTTCCTCCTTCACTCTCTCTCCTACCTCCATGTAAGATGTGCCTGCTTCCCCTTCTGCCATGATTGTAAGTTTCTTGAGGCATCCCCAGCCATGCAGAACTGAGTCAATTTAAACCTCATTCCTTCATAAATTACCCAGTTTCAGATATGTCTTTATAGCAGTGTGAAAACGGACTAATACATCACATTTCAGTTAATGCCTTACTTTCCTTCATTTGTTAATAATACTCATCTTTTCCCTTTTCTTCAGTTCTGCTTTCAAGTTAGACTTTTATTCTTTCTCTCAGGTCTCTCCATGTCTTGGAAAGCCCTAACTTATTCAAACATCCTACCCTTTACACACAAGCACACACATACCCTTATCCATGACTGCTTTCCATTAGTCGCACAGAAGACTGGAAGTCAACTCTTCCTGCACACTAATCACTTCTCTGCTCTCTTTTCATTCTCTTGACATGAGGGACAAATTACTTTCTGTTCCACCTCACTTGACCAAATCTGGCAAATAAAGATTACAGCAACTCCATACATGTTCCCAGGCAGTGTGCAAACAGATAGAGTCCTTTCCAACTGGAAACTCGCTGGACACTATTTGACATCAACAGTTGATTTCCCAACATGAATGTATCTCCCGGGTTTTATGTCCTCTAACTCAGTCCTCTTCAATGAAATAATTTCTTTCTTTGGTTCAAAACATTTAAGTAAATGGATTTTTAAAAAACCCTACATATTTAAGTAAAACACAATACAGTTTGCATAAAGGCCATAGTTTCATCACAAGTATATATACAGTAATCAAAATCACCTGGACCATAAAGAAGACTCTAGAACACCTGCAAAGGCTTTATTCATGTGTGATTGCTAATGTTTATAATTTTATAATGTAATGTGGCATCTGATACTGTTTAATGTGTTTCCCTCATTGTCCTTTTGGTGACTGCTCCACAGGCCTAAGAAACTTTGAGGTCTGTGCTACCTCAAGGACAAGTGACATGCTTCGCTTACCCCTGGTCAGCACCCGAGCTTCTGCTGTTTGTAGCACTGCTGTTGGCCTTATGGATGGCCTGATATTTTGTCTGTCATATTTAAAGAGGCTGAGTCAGACACCGTGGAGCTCATCTGGCATTTTCAGCACCCCTCACAATCATTTCTGTAGCAATTGACGAGCTCAACCATGTGGCAATTAGACTGGATGATTAAAATAGTCAAGCTGTCTATATCTGTGACCCTATGATAGTTTTTTCAATGTGTAGCTTTTTTCAGTGTGTGGATTTGTCTCCTGGCAGATTGCTCAGGCCGGGAGAACCTTTGTGCTCCACTGTGTTTTCCCAGCAGTCGTTGGTGCACATCTTCCCACATAATTTAAGATTGTTTTTCTCGGGGGTCACAAAGGATGGCCCTGGTCTGTTTTTCCCTTAGGTGCTCCTTTTCAGTGCATCATGTAACATGATTTAGCTTCTGGTGCATGAGCTTGCAAGTGTGTGTAGATGTCTGTGCTGTGTGTGGGATGTGTTTAAACCCAAAGAATATGAGTTGTAATGAGCCTGACTTCAAGCCAGGGTATTGACTGCCTTTCAGAACATCTTAATTGATAGCCATGCTTTGCCATTTGATGTTAGCTATGACTCACAGGGGCTGCTAATGAAATGGAGGCAGAGGCTGAACGTGTTCCCCAGGTCTCACACCTCTGTAGTAGATTGAACCATGCAGTCCCATTATTTTCCTAATGTTTAGCTCAATCTGGAGCTTGATGCCATTTAGATGCCAAACTGCACCCACTTTTTTCTGTTATTTTTTCTCAGTGTCTTGACAAGCCATGCCAGTCTGTTATGTCAGATATCAGTGACAACTTCTTCCATAATGCAAATCAAGATTTTTCAGTTAGAGGCAATTTTGCTGGATCAAAGAGATGGATCATGTTTGTCCTGTTATCTTGCATTTCTGTAAAAATAATCTACAACCTTCTGCCTGTGTGTGTGTTTTCAGGGAAACATCATCAACTAGCTAGAATCTCTGAATGCTTGTCTTGAAGAGTTATAAAAGCCTGCCATTTGTGGAGGTGGGAATGTGTGCC